TTGTTAAGTTTCGTACGTTAAATTTCCCCCCTATAGCTGATTTTTACGTCAAATCTGCTGAACTGGGTTAGTGAGCCAACTCATTGCTACAGTTAAGAGAAACATGTTAACACGAACATTACAAAAGGCCCTAGTCTAAAGACATACTGTAAGACAAATAAACCTCCAATGAATGTAACAAAAAAATATATATATATCAAATTCCTTTGCCAGAATTCAAAGTGGAGAATCGATCCATTTTCTAAGTTTAACGGTACTTTTTGCATTAACCTGTACTCTCCTCTGCAGTCTCACGTAAAGCAGTTACAACTAGACCTAGATTACTAAGGATTCAAACTCTTTTTTTTTTCACAAACTGTGAATAAGATAACACTTGTAGTTACGGCGAGACTCGACAGGATTTCAACCATTTTAGCTACAACTTTACTCCGTAACTAAAGTTAACTATAAACGATGAGTTGAGTTGTCGCGTCCCCGATTAAAATAATAAACTCACACTGCAGGCCCGGAGCTCTATCACAAGGAAAATAATGTAAGCAGCTCAGGGAAATGAACAAGATCCCATATCACATACAGCTAAAACAGCTAAGTTTCAATACATATCTTCTTTTACCGATAACCTGTCCTAAGGGTTCCTATTTTCTTGTTTTTCACTGATGACAAGTACAAGTCTGGAGGTGCGGAATTTTTTAGGGGGGTAACAAAGGGATTTCGGGTCTTCATTTCTTGCGTAATGAGAACACAAGTTGATAAATTTGAATAACTATGGATATCGCATAAACACTACAAATCTGTATATGAAATACATACTGTAATATATAAATCGAAACTGTTAAACAGCATGTAATTTTGGCCAGAAATTCATGCTAGAGGCGCAGTAAAACAAAGACTCGAAAGTTTCAGTACAAGGGAACAGAATAACCACTACTGCTCCGCCCTCCACTACCGGCCGTCACATACATCCCCACTCACACTGTCCTCCACCTGCCGCCTCAACGCACCACCAAACGCATACACACACACCTGCAAATCTGTGTAGTCATCCTCCTACACAGTTTAAGTTTTACAAGTGTGAGAACTTGACTTGCACGTCACGGTGCATGCTATAGATCTGATCTTACGCATACCTAACAGAATACTGTACATAATTACAACTCTATCGTCCGCCACCATAGACTATTACCACACTGTGAGGGATCCACACGATAAAACTAATAAATCTAATAACAAGCAGTAGAGCAGTACGCTTCGTATCACAAAATATCGGGCACCACCACACATCTAAAACTCCAACACAAGACTGACATTAAAAGGATGGCACCCGGTATAGACACAACTTTCATACAAAACAATATACAGGCATGTTTTTAAACTCCTCAATAAAGAACGCTCGCAGAACTAACAACTTCACATACAGCACTAAACTATATTAAAAACAAAAAATCCTTTCCCTTACACTCAAGCACATACACATTAACTTGACGGCTGACATGGAGGCCTGAGATCCTGGGTACACAGACCTCTTTTTAATGCTCCACCCGGTATTTCACAATTTCCCTTTCCCTTAATATTTGTCTAGATCTCATTCCTTGTACGCCTTTATTTTCCTCTCAATGACCAATCCCAATATAAAAACGGGGTTCTACAGTAACGCTACGAGAGGTCCGTCATCAAGACGCGCTAGACACAATCCTCCCACTTTCACAGCTCACAAATAGAACTTGTTTCACAGTAACCAGTTGTGTTGGGAGAAAGACGTGATTCGTTACAATTGTCTTTGAATAGACCTTTCCGTACGACCGTGATCTGTCGACGTTCATGTACAGTTGTACACCTACCCAAAAAATATTCGGCACCCTTGTCATATTACATCGAGCCGTAAGGGTGTTGAATAATTTTTAGTGGGTGTACATTTATGTATCGTGCATGTATACATGTGTGTGTGTGTGTGTGTACAAGAATCATGTACACCCACTAAAAAAATATTCGGCACCCTTACGGAGTGATACAATATGACACGGGTGCCGAATAATTTTTTAGTGGGTGTACAATCAAGGACAAAAGTCGTGTCGCGGTTTTGTCCGAAGATTAAATATAACTCGTGAAACATTGAGAGCCCTCTACCACAAGGCAGCGCGCACCAAAAGTTTAGCCCTTTGGCATATGTTTTCACCTAATTTCACGACACGACTTTTGTCTTTCATTGTACAACAGATACATGGCCATGTCTTGAACAATAAAACAGTGTCCATTATTTTTAAATAGCTTGATCCGGTTGTAATTTGACCCCGGAACACACCTTAAAATGCGATTATACGACTTCTCACTGTCAAAACAAAACGGGAAATTTTCCATGCTTCCAACTTTGACACAAGTAGCCAACCTGAAATATCATATTCGCCTGATAAAAACCCCACATACCTTCGGGGCCCCGGAATGTGGATAACTGCTGTACAGTTTAAGGGACCAACAAACCACAAGAATGTAGAGTCAAGCAGTTGCTGAGATACAGTCCTGTCACAAAACTGACTATTTACAATCAACAGGAGCCAGTAAAATTTTCATAAACTAAACGGTAGGCTTCATTATAGAAAATGCGAAGTTTGGTACAGCACCACCGGAGACGCCTGCGGGAGGCACGACCATCCCCACACCTGACGAATGGGACAAAAGCTCCGAACCCACCCCACCCGACTCTTACCTACACCTAGTCTGGCCCTAGTCTGGCTTCTCTCCCTTGTCAACACTTGACTGGACTCCCACCACTTCACTCACTCTTCTCTAACTACTACTCTGCTTCATTACCTTCCAAGCCGTATTAGCATGACTAAGTCAGTGAAAACTGTATCCATTTCCAAACCCTATATCACAAGTGAAATCAAGGCAATGGTAAAAGAAAAACTCAAACTCCAAAGGAAATTTGCAAAAAGACCCATTACTTTCGGTAATGCTAACCGAAGCATCAGAAATAGAGTAACTCAAGCAGTTAGAAATGCCAGACGTAGCTATTATACAAATAAGCTCCAGTCAGCATCAGGTAACAGTAAGAAAACCTGGAATATCATAAATTATATTCAGAAGAGGAACACTCTACCTTCGCCCCCCCCCCCCACTCAGCTTTTATGATAAATGATTCAGTTGTAACGGAACCCTCCCTCATTACCAACCACTTCAATGATCATTTTATTAACGTTGACAATAATCTTGCAGAGAGCATCCCAAATCACCGTTATGAATTTAGAGTCTACCTGCAAAACAGACAACAAAATGAGCTGTTCTTATCCCGTCACAGCAGATGAATTATTGACCGTCATAAAAATGTCTAAAGATGCAGCAGTAGGCGACGACAATATACCAATGAGCATCATAAAGAAAGTAGCCTACCTGTTCTCCTACACATTTGTAACTCCTCCTTCACCAGTGGTGTCCTTCCGGATAAACTAAAAATTGCTAAAGTTCACCCAGCATATAAAAAATCTGGGGACAAAGGTTTTTCCAAGAATTACCGCCCAAATCTGTCCTCCCAGCCTTAGGTAAGATACTAGGGAAGCTAGCATGTAGTAGACTAAAGTCTTTCTGCAATGTCACTAACATCTTTACAGACTCAGTTTTGATTTAAAGCTGTAAGGTCGACTGAGAGTGCCCTGCTATCCTTTACTTATGACATCTTAAACTCCTTTGATGACAGTCGGTATATTCCTGGACCTCTCTAAGGCCTTTGATACTGTCGACCATACCATCCTCCTGTCAAAGCTTGAACATTAAGGCGTTAAGGGCCTGTCCCACAATTGGTTTACCTCATATCTGTCTAATAGGAAGCAGTATGTCTGCTATAATAATCATCAATCTGACTCCTCACCAATTTTGTATGGCGTTCCTCAAGGTTCCATTCTCGGTCCAGTACTGTTTTTGCTGTACATAAACGATATAGTCCACGCCAGCCCACTCATAAAATACAACTTATTTGCAGACGATAGTAATCTCGATGCCAACAACTCAGACCTCCATTCCTTGATGAGAACTATGAACACTGAATTTACTAAAAGTCAGGACCTGGGTAATACGTGTATAAATGGAAGTCCGGGCTAAGCAAAGGGGGACATTACAAAGGTACTCAAACTATCCAACCAGGAGCGAACTCGTAACAATGGTTTTAAATTAGACAAATTTAGATTTAGGCGCGAAATAGGTAAACGCTGGTTTGGAAATAGAGTAGTGGATGAATGGAACAAGTTACCAAACATCATCATTAACTCGAATACGCTGGATAGCTTCAATCATAGGTTGGATGGATATATGAGCAATAGGGGTTGGGTGTAAATGGGACTGCCCAGTATGGGCCAATAGGCCCGCTGCAGTTTCCTCCATTCTTATGTTCTTAGGTTAGTACCCCGCATCCCCAACGTGGCCCCCTACATTGTTGGGGTAGAAAGGGGTGGGAATAACACACACACACACAAAATGATTTGCCCCAAAGATAAAGGTCAGAATCATCTAAAACAGCAAGAAAACTAACGAAAAAAATATTTTTCATGTAAAAAAGGGTGATGGGTAGTTGACGAAAAAAAATTTCAATTTATGTAATTTTAGTATTTCATCGACAATTTAGAAGTTTCTGTTTCTCGTTACCTAAATAAATTTCCCGTTATTTTTTCTAATCCAAGTTAAAAGCAAAATACGTTAATAGTGTAATGAATTAACTGAATATCTAATTACAAGGGTCGTCTGTAGTTAAGTTTTTGTACAGAAAAAGGTTGTGCATAAACTTGACCAAATTTTACACAAAATATACAGTTACAAGGAATAATAATTGTACATATATCTTTTTAATACAGAAGACGTCTACAAAAGCGGAAATATTAATATAATAAAATGGCTGCTTGGCATTCATAAAACTGACCACCAAAAATGTGGCTTGGTGACCTCAACGCAGCCACACAAACCCAGCCATACTAACTTCGAGTAAAGTTCAGATTAGAACTAAATTTCCATTAACTTACCTTAAATGACAGACGCTGTACCTGCTTCTGATAACTCCCTCCGATTAAGTAAGTATTTGAAATTAAGAACAAGACTCGCAGCACCTATCACACTGAGGTAAAGATCACTTCTGAGCTGCGGCGCGCTTCCCACAACGAACCCTCTGTTCACCTCAAGCGGCGGGGGGAAGAGGAGTCAGTGTGACTAATTCTAGAAAAAATATTATTTTTACTCCAAATATTTTACTAATCTAAATAACATTTTAATTAGTGTTGTATATTTTTATATGTGTATAGTATTAGCTTTTATGATCACAGGCTAGTACAGTAAGAAGACTTAAAACTATATTAAAATGCAGAGCATTTGTAAGGTGTGGCAATAAAGTCCACATCCCCCGCTGCATACACTGCCCAGGGCCGTAGGAATTCTTGCCTAGCTACTCTACTGCCTACAGCAGCGGGTTACGGTTATGCTAACAGCACCGTGTCCGTATAATTAGTAGTAACTAATATTGTACTGCCAATTCTAAAAATCAGAATTATGAAATTATAATACAAGCGATGTAGTTAAGTATCCTACAACGCTTTAAAATAGTTATTGAATAGCCTTTGACTAGCCCAACAGTTCTCCATATTTGTTTGTGTGCTATTCTAACAAATTTAAAGAATAACAACAGTAGAACGAAAAAGTATTGGGTATTCAATATAAGTTAGACAGTTGAAATCTGTCAGGACAGGTTTTCAAAGTTGATTGCTATATGAATTTATGAATTACTCAAGATGATACCAAGTGATAACTGAAGGTGACACCAGGTGTAAATCTACTCTACAGACAAGAGCAGATTAGTTATTAAAAGTTAACACAGTGAATGTACGACTAGAACGTACTGTACAAGATATCATTTACAAAATATCGGTGCTATTTCATTATAGTTAACAGCTGGCAGTGTTACTCAGACACTTATGCATTAACTTTTTTCCACACATTTCTTCAATGCTGATAATTAATGAAATTAAGGAAATAGGTGCGGGGAAAGCTTTGGATAATACTAAATCAAGTAATACATAGCTAAGGACAGAATATTTCATTAAATTATACAAAAGACGAAGGTTAATCCACCCTACACACATTTGCCTGCACCTGCTCCGTCACACTTTATGGGTCTAAGATTACCATATTTAGTGTTCTGAACTTATAAAAAAAACACAATAATCCGTTCTAGCACACACACACACACACACACACATATCTATATATCTATCTATCTATATATATATATATATATATATATATATATATATATATATATATATATATATATATATATATATATATATATATATATATATATATATATATATATATATATATATATATATATATATATATATATATATATATATATATATATATATATATATATAACTAGCCCACTGAATGCTAATATTCTTGAAAATTCATAAATTCATTAGTGTATTTGAATGTATAATAATTCCCTTTAACTGGACAGAGAGAGAGAGAGAAGGAATGCTGCTTGGGGTGTAACCGTTGCTTACAAATGTCTACACTGTTGGATTCAGTATTCCTGCATACAAACAAACTCAGTCAAACGCATCAAATTGAGGTGGTGTTTCCCTCACTACATATTTACCACACAAACTTTGAATCAGGGTGACACAGACTTTATTGTCACGGATATGATGGAATTTTGTAATAATTGATGAAGAGCAACTACATGTTTAATAATGTTTTAATAATTATATATTAAACAGGATCTTAACTGCATTATAACAATAAGACAATCTCGTCGTTCATTACTTTGCTGTCCATACTTATTAGAGTGGAGAGTCTTCAGGTGTTCCTTCTTTACTGTTGTCTGGTCTTATATGTTTATTCATCATATAATACATTATACATTTTTTCGTTTAAATAACGTTTCATGTGCTAACGAAAAGGACTGCCAAGCCTCGTTTCAATACACCAGAAGGTCATGAGAGACTTATCAGTACTAACATAATACCACATTTCACATGAAGTGTTTTAAGGATGTGTCTGGTCTGGGCCGTTCGCTTCTAGCTCAACGAACTGTGTTGTCAGGCCGTTCTGATCCGCCTCAATTTCCTATAACCTCAGACGTTTACCAGTCACCTACACCACAGTAATCATTTACTCTCTTAATTGTAAAAACCTCAAAATAACCGACACATTTAATATTTTATGTTGATAAATTCATTACAACAGCCTTTGACCTGTCAGTCAAATTTTAGTTCGTTGTGCCTAAAGATATCACAGCTGACTATACTTAATTCCCGAGCAAGGCGATGGAAAACAAACGGTAAAACGTTACTTACTGCATTATAGAAAATTTCACATATAAGAGAAATGGCATATTCTGCAGACTGCACCACTACCTTCAAACACCAAAAATGAAATAGGCAGCTTCTCCTATGCCAACACTAGTAGAGGTGACGGCTTTTCTATTTCAAGAGCATTAGTACAGCTGTTCAAAAGTGACGTAGGTCACTGGACTGGGGCGGATCCAGGAATAACAAAAGGGGGGTCCAAGAAATTGTGTTGGGGGAACATGGAGAACAAAGCAAGCCCACCCAGCTGGGGGGGTGGGGGGGTTGAGTGCTGTAAGCACCCCCCTCCCAGATTTTTTTTTAAATCTGGCCAATATCATGGGCATTTTGAGGCCATTTTGAAGCCACGTGCACTTGATATTAGGGGATATTCTGAGGTCAATAGTAATTACCTTTTCCTGTACAAAAAACGTCTGGGTACAATACTGCATTTAAGAAAATGTAATGGAATTTTCTGATGAAAATGGGGGCCCCTTGGATCCGCCCCTGCTGGATCACTACGGAGGCAGTTGTACAGGAGTGAAAATACCCGTCATAACTTCTCTATTAACAGACTATACGGCACGATCCATCACAAGACTGTCACCTCTCTCAGGAGTCGTCGTCTAGTTAGTAAGAAATATTTTATTAAAAGAAGATATTACTAATTTTAGGGGTTATAGTTGTCACAAGGCGTGACTATCTTTTTTTTTCAATATAAAGTCTAAATACTTTTTTGTACATATGAAAAATTGAATATAGGTCCCATAGGCATGCATGACTGCCCGTTAGGGTACTGCACTCGATTGCATTCACCACCCCAGGTTGTAAACTTAGGGGCTCATTTACAGGTGGGTGAACTGTGGGCGCCGGGGAATTTAACTACTGAACCCTGGAACTGGAGGCGAGCCGCGCTTCTTTTGAACACATAGCATTGATTTATTTCTTAGATGTACATGGCAACTTCTGCCTTACAAAAATTTTGAGAAAAAGAACAAATGGTGGTACAGTTACACTCGACTCGCCGCGTAATCTAGCCAGTTGAGGCGAGACAGCTGGTGAGCGCCTCACCTCCAGCCAATACCTGTCACAGAGCGAGCAACACATCCCTCCAAACTGTTGACAGCAGTTTATGAACTAATTTTTTTCAAAATTTTAAACGATAAAACAGCCATTTCCGTTTATGTGACTGAGTTTCTTTCTGTACTCAACTGGAATACCACGAGGGCTAGTTTATTTTTATTAGGCCTCATCACCATTAGAAGTGCGAAGGTCACTTTAAAATACGATTTTAATTCATTTACAAGTTTTAATTGTATGAATTCCTGTGGACCCAAAATTCTTCTGTATCAATCAATAGTTTCCAAGGTGATGTGGTCTGTTTTTTTTTTGTCAATCAATCAAAGGTGTATATACCGTCCTCCTGAGGGTTGGTTACCAGTCCTGCTCTCTTAAACCTCCAAGATTTTGTGTCTCTCTGGGGATCCAGTTTATAATTTCATTCAATCTTCCTAGTCTCTGCCTTCCCCTGGCCCTCCTACCCTCAACTTTGTCCCTTAATATTTGTCATTATCCCCTCATCCCTAATTATATGACCAAATTCCCTTTTTTTTTGTAACTTTCAAGTATTTCTTTTGATTTTTTACTAACCTTAGTGCAGTACTTCTTCGTTTGTTTTCCTGGACTAAAAGTTATTTTTAACATTCTCTTATAACACATTTCAAAGGCCTCTAACTCTAATCTCTTTCTGGTGACAAAATGTTCTGCTTCAGACCATACAGCAGTCCTGACCATATACTGAATAGCCTTTTTCTCAAATTGAAATTAAAGACCCTTTTTATTAGGTCTTTTAGATTATTAAATACTGTGTTTGCTTGACCCAGTCTTTTGATTTTTTTCACATATACACCGTCACTAATGGCTAATGTTACTGCTCAAATACAAAAAAAATTTCCACTTATTTATGTCTCCTGTTGCCTACCATCACTTTTATTCTAGGATTTATTTATAATTGGAAACAACCATTACTTTACTTTCGTCTTTACAGCATTAACTCTTAACCCATATTCTGCACCTTTTTCCAATAATTTGTTAACCAGCTTTTGTAATGCCTCTTCACTATCCAAGAGAAGAACAGTATCATCTGCATAGCATAAATTTGATAATATTGTTACAGACCCCTTTTGCTGCTTACCAGTGGCCAGGTCGTATATACTGAAGCAGTAGATATATCAAAAGTGTCATCGAATTACCACTAGCTGTCCCTCCAGTCTACGGTAATTTCCCGACAATCGGTATCAGTCTACAAACAAAACAGGCAGGTAGATTTCCACCAGGTCACAAACACACTTGTAAACTGTAGTCTCTTTAATAATTACCAAATCTTCACAAAACTGTTCACAGGGTACGTCTTCACGGCCTGACTTCTCACTTCGAATACAATACAGTACATACATTCAGCACACTACCAGTGTACAATTCCTTAGTCTTTTCACTTTATATCACTCAACAATTCCACAATACTGTACTTGCACACCAATTATCTATCGCTGTCACTAGGCTTGTACTGTACTTCACACTCTGAGCAGAAACGGGCGACTCCTTCCCCAGGGAGCTTGCTGACATCTATATACCTCTCGTCAGATGCCCAGAGCATGTTAGTGCTATACAGACCTTGCAGGTCGGAATGAGATACGCCTGGAAAGTTCTAGAACGATCTAGGGTTACAATACGAAAGTAAATCATAAAAAAATTATGCAATACATTCTAGAAAATTCTTACATAGGTAATACATACAATATATACAAGTAAATCTCCCTGAACTTGCCAAAATAACTGCTGTTTGGAATAGAAAATTATCAAAACACCTAGCTCACAAAAATTATAATACTGTATTATGTTCTGGCATAACACTACTCCCTCCCTAATCGTTGTGTTAGGATGACACTATACTGTATACCGTATTTTGCGGCATATAAGACACACCGGTGTATAGGACTCATCCTAAATTTAGCATGAAATATGTTGGAAAAATTAAATTGAGGGGAATTTTAATGTTGTAATTTTTTTTATTGCTACTTTATTTGTAAAAAGAAATCATTCATACCAAATCATGCCAGTATGTAGTATTGTAACTTTACCAAAACAAAACAAAACTAAAATGGCTGCCAGGGAGTAGACCATTGTTCCGTTGTTTGTTGAGCCTTAGCCCGTTATCGAAGCATTTCGTGCCTCAATTAAGGTTTGTTTTATTTTATAAGGCAGTTACAAGTTTAAACAAGAAATATAACACAGGTTATTGGTGGGAAATCTGTAAACATCTAAGACAACGAGTAGTTTGCCTGACCACTGTCGGTAGTTTCAAGAATTATCGCAGTCATTTACTGAATATTTCTTGTTTATTTATTATTGTTTTAATTGTTCTCTTTGTAAAATGGAATTAGTCTTGTAATATACCATATATATTCATTCTGAAGTTGTTTGGATTCTTAAACTAGGGGGATACCGAGATCCCAAGCTGGACCCCAATCCTGACCTTCACCATATTGGACACAGGGTGATTTTGAGGATAAAATTTGGAAAAATAAGCGCGTCCTATATGCCACAAAATACAGTACATAATAATCCTGAAACTTGGTAGGTCTCCTCCTCTCCCACTACTGCCGACATACTGGGATGTCTTCAGAGTCCTCCCTTGGCACAGCAACCTAAGTCACATCACCAGAGTGGTTCCCCTCTCCTGTCATGTCCAATTCCGCTAAGAGAGAACGGTGCTCCTCTTCCTGGTCCATGGTCGGATTCTCCAGATCGGTACGGCCCTGAGTTCTTCCAGGATCTCCAGTCTGTCCCTCATCGGTGATAGGTGACTACTCCTCAGAATCTTCCTACGTGTACTGTCCTGGCCTATGATACTGCCACAGACGATTGATGTGGACTCCCTTCGGCTAAGCTTTCCTTCCTCCCCTGATCCAATAGGTCACATCTGAAAGACGTTCCACTACAGTGTATGGTCCTTCCCATGGACTCTACAACTTCGGTGACTGACACTTCTTTTGCAGAGGGTTATGCATGTTTTGGATAGTTCACCACTTCACCGGACATAGCTCGGGGTCTTAACTCAGGTGCTCTGTAATCAAACCCAACTCTTCCTTTTTCTACACCCTTATCATATTTTACATAATTTTCAATACTATTCACAAACGATGTTTCATACACACCATCACAATTATACGGGTCACCAGACCTTGACTGATACCCTGCTCTTAGACAATTCTCCAGAACTTCCATCCTGCTACAGTATTGACTTTCTTAAGCTCTTTATATACCTCTGTGATCTCACCACTCACTTTTTGTTTGTGCCGATTCGATTTTTCACCCACTTCCTCTTTTCTCGCTCCTAGTTCAACTTGCACTTCATGCAACACGTCATCCCAGCTGTTACACATCATTTGCAGAGCCTCATCTCTTTCATGAAATTTCTTGTTGATCTCTTCCTTCAGCTGCTGTAGTTGTTACTTCTGTTCTTCTCTTTGTTCTTGCAATAGTTGTTTATATTCTCGTTGTTCTTGCAGGATTTGTTTCTGTTCTTCTCGTTGCAATCACACCGTCACCTTCCATCTTGACTAGTATCTCACTGCTAGGGTATCCCATTCCTGTCATCAGTGTTACGAATCCCTTTCGCCGCTTATCAGCTTCCACCGCTGGTTTCCAGCATTGCATTGACTGGGATAATGCCTCCTCATTATTACCTTGTAATTCAATTGTCAGTAGGAACATTATAGAATCTAGTCACATTAAGCACACCGAATCTGTCAACACTAATTTGAGTAATGGCAGTACAAACTGGACAATTTTATGATTAACAAGATTTGTAACCAAGTGAAAGGGTTGGTAACATACTGATATGCTATTACCACCATGCAATGTGTATTATTCCAGATGATACTAAATTTCACATAATACTTCCTTGAGATAAATGTACAGTACTGTATATATCAGGTGCCTACAAGAGAGCTCAGGCTCTCACTGGCTCAGCCATGTTAATATTGTTATTATTATCCACCCTATATCTGTGTTTTTTTGGCTAAATAAACTGTTTCAATTCAATTCAATTCAAATTCTCTCCTTTACTGTATATATTAGCCTTGTCAATAATTACTCCTTAGTCTGTACTCACCCCTGAAGATGTGAAGTATATATAAAGTCTCTCCTCAATTTACGACAACTCGGACATACGACAGCCATGGTCGTATAAAATATTTTTCACATTACTTATTTTCGAATCCTGACGCCAGTGATCGCGTTGTGTACTGACAAAATTTTCGTTTGTAGTTCCCTTTAAAATGGTTTCTAAGACATACACCTTCACAGCAACCTCACACCCTCACAGACATACACCGTCACAGTAGCCTCACACACCTTCACACCATCACACTATTTCCAGACTGCTATTTTTTTTTTTTTTTTTGTAAAAAGAGAAACTGCAGAAAAAACAAACAATTTGGGGGGCTGGGCAAGATCTGGGGCCAGGGGCAAATGCCTCATTTGCCACCACTATAATCTGTCACTCAACTGATCAACCCTAAAAGCTTTATCATTTTTCATTTTGCTCAGACACCATGTAATAATTACCCCCTTTAATCGATTCATCACTTAACAGACACTCCCCAGGAATGAATCTTGTCTATTTTAAGAGGCCTGTCTCTACACTGGAAAGTGGTGGATATAACAATGTGAAAGTTGTTAATTGGTGGACATGTATGGGGAATGGATTAAGTAACAATGACTTAGAATAGTGCTTGTAATTTGATTTAAGTTATTATACTACCCAAACCATGAGTGATAAGGTATATGAGTAAACTGGGGTGGGGTAAAATTGAAATAGCCTTTAATATGAAGAGAAACTACCACTAAGTTCTATTAATTCTTTATAAGATAGCATGACTATGAGTTTGTTAAATGGTGAGAATTATAAGTGCTTAGAGAAATTTTTAATCAGTAATTGAATGCAATGTAGATGAACAATACTGTACTGTCAGGAATATATATAAATTGGCTATAATGACATGCCTTATGTTAATTAAGCTTTTTGGATAATTCAAATAACAATACAAAAATTGAATTAATTTTTATTTCAATTTTGTTAAAGGATATGTAAGACTTTATACAGTACTGTAATATGTGAACTCCTGATAAAATTAAACTTTTTATTATAATACTGTACACTATTCTAATTTTAAGCATTTTTATTGTTATTTTGACCATCGCCCTTTTTTAACTGCAGGAATCAAGCCATCCTTTACAGCTTGTTCCATAGCCAATCGTTCTTCTTTCTTTTTCTTGTAATCTGCCACATTGTCATAGCGTTGCTTGTAGAGAACATCCAAGTTAAGTCCATCATGACCCACTGAAAATAGACACTACCTAGATTAGGTTACAAATCTTATATACAGTATGTAATCAATAGATCAACTTGCCTCTAATTGTTAATATATACAGCAATTCAAATACAGTAGCTATACCAAATAAAATTTTTGAAGACCAATAGTAATAAGTCCTCAATTACATAGAGCATAAACATAATGCCCATTTTCACAACTGCAACAACAAGCTCAAAGAAAATTACATTTACCTGAATTAAAAAAAGAAAAAGAAGTAAGAATCTACAGTCAGGGACAAAAGTTCACTCCCCATGGTGAAGCTGGGTCACAAAAATGAGTCTCCAAATTGACTTACCCCAACTGTTTCATCTTATTTGGGGTCGATACTGCTTCATTTTGGGCAGGAGCAAACTAGTGACCCTAACTGTACATATATTTGATAGGAAATGTTTAAGTCCTAGAAAGGAAATGTATATAGTACAGTATTGTAGACTTCTGATTAGACATACTGTACAGGTATAAAACTATCAAGTGGAAGTTGATAAAATGTTAAAAATGAAAAAGTGTGTAATTAAGTATTCTTTAACATTTTTGACATTAAACAGGGAAGGATACTAAAGACTGCTAGGTGTGGGAGAAAAGGCATCATACTTTTCAATTACAGCACATGAGTAAAAAGTTTCAGTCTTCCGAGAAAATTATAAAAAATGTGAAGCATATATTAAAAAGTTTCTTGGGAAGAGATAAAGTGAATCCCTCTTAAAAGCAGAACTACATCAAAGATGTGTAAACTTGTCATGGTTATTTGTCTTGTAGCCAAAGCCAGAAAGTGGTCTGGTACCCCTCCCCCTTTAGAACAAAACAACTATTTTTTTTCAAAGGGGTTATATGCAAGAACAAAGAAAAATGATGGTTGTGGTAATTTATTTTTTTCACTGGCAGGTCTATTTTCTGTAACCATTTGTGTGACTGTTCATAGCGTCATTAGCGACTGGCTAAAAGAAGCATTTAATCCATAAATGGTAGATAAAACATTTTTTTTTATAACAGAAGACATCTAAAAGAGAAAACATTTGTAACTTTTATAAATTATTCTTCAAATTTACACATTAGAAACTATATTTTACTGATTTTGACTGCAATTATCATCAGGTATATTTAAAAAAAATTTACAACAGGTTGTTCATTCAGGGATTATCTGCCAAAGTTGGTGGAAACATAGGAGATACTGTGATTAATAACGGTGATAGCTTATGAAATTTCAACTTTGGTGATTGTCTAGTTGAATGATGTTATCAGTCAATGTGAAAAACTTCCAAGGCTGATCTACCAAAGATGCTGGATGCTGTTTTTGATGAAATTCACACACTGACAAAAGTTCCTGGTGAAAAGGGAAGCTACTGTTGATGATCCAGTCTGTAAATGAATCACTGTTCAAGACTTTTGATGACCTATCAGAAAAGGTACTGAAAAAGATCCTGCACATCCTAGAAGATGATCAACTTGGAGTTGACAGTCGTTTTTGACCGATAAGATAAGCCAAAATCAATTAAGCAGACAGAACAACAATGCAGAGGTGATGATGGGATGACACCCACTCATCAAGCAACTGGATCACAAAATGTCCCAAATTACTATCTTTTCTTGAAAGGACCAGTCAACAAAGCTGCCCTTGCTGCCTTTGTCAATGATTCTGTCATCATCAAGGCCATGTCTCAGTTTAAAATGAGTAAATCCATCATTCTTGCAGGGGGCTTTGCCAATGTGGAGACAGTGGAGTGAGCGAGGAGGTCTGGTGAGGTCCTGCTGGAACATGTTTTCTCTACACACGAAGAAGCAAACACTCGTGTTGTGCTGCATGCAAATAACTTTGCAAAAACCCATCACAGGACTGTGGTGCACTGTGATGACACTGAAATTCTAGTTATCTTACTGCATTACTATAGCAAGGGGCTTCTTTCTCCTGGAGAATATATATATGCATGCTGTGCACTTGGGAAAATCAATCACACGAGAGCAGTACATACCTGTGCATACTATTGTGGAAATGCTTGGGAAACGAGTGTCAATGTGCCTCCCTGCTGTACATGCCTTCACTGGTTGTGACAGTAACAGCGCATTCTTCAAAATTGGAAAACATACTACATTCACAACTCTGACTAAGCACATAGACATGGGGGCAGAGCTCTCTGAATTTGGTTTATCATTGTCACCAACCAGATCAGATAAAGTTGCACGATTTTATGTGCTCCAGCTGTATGGGCAAAAAGGAAAGCAGCTATGTTACCCCCAACAAAAGAAGCTTTCAAGCAACACTTCTCTAGAGTCGTGTTACAGACATCAGTCTGGTGTCAAAGTCACAAAGCAAAACCATAGGTAGCAGATGCTGTAGGTCATGTCTGGATAAAGACTGTAGAAGGACTTGTAATACCTCTTATGTTTGACCAGGAATGTGCATCAGTATAGGTTCGTAACCTCACTCACCTGTACTGTAACAACAAGAATTGTCTTGTCAAGGAAATGTTCTTGTCTGCTGGTAGGTCTGCCTTGCATTGAACAATGTGTTTGCGATACATGTACATGCCCAAACAGCCCACTCGATTGTTATGATTCTGATTCTGTTGATGATGACACTGAGGTCTGTGTGTAAGATGTGTTGTCTCTGTGCTGTGTATGAGGCAATGTCATCTTGAATGATGTACCTAACTAAACATGTGTTGGAATTTACTTTTACAAATACAGTACAATATGGTTGTCTGTTTTTCCAATTTATCTTTTATTTAATTTTAAGTACAGTAAGATCTTGTATTTTGCGAGTAATATAGACTGGAAAAATTACGCCAAATTCAAATTCGCCAAATGCAAATACATAAACTAATGGGAAAAATAACAATATAGACTGGCCACTCTACATCAACCTCTGATTTTCCCATTTATAACCTCCAAATGATACAAATTCTGCATTTATTCACCTGATTGTGCTTTACGGAAACTAGTTTTTAGGCGTTCCTCAAGTACCTTAATCACACGCTGCTTATCCTGCATCGAGTACTTGGCAAACTTAACTCCCTTATGATAGTCCCGCTTTTCCTTTTCCTTATTTGGCCGCTTAGGTGGGTCTGTCCCACCCCACCAGCACCAGTAGGACCCCCAGTGGAGGTAGATGCCATAATCTTAACTCAACAGGTGGTAGCACCACCCCAAAAAAGCACACAATAACAGCCTGGGTGGTTGCTAGGATGGCGTGGGCTACAACGCGGTAGTTGCGTTCTTGTATACCTCTTTTACGTTCACCACCGGCAATTCGATCGCCAGAATGCTTTTTGGAAACATACTTCTTACCTTGTCTTTCCATATTCATCGCTAACACAACAAAATTGGAGAAAACAGTGAAAATCACGGAGTAATCGACAGAAACCACGCGATTCAACTGATCACGTGATGTAAACAGAGAGCACTGGTGTAAACCGTTATTAGTCCTCACTGCGAAACATTGTTTTTACTTATACTTTTCATACAGTATTTATGGGTAACAGGTAAATTTGAAAAAAAAAAAAAAAAATACGAGTACCTCTCAAAAAACACTTCACAACCCAAAGACACGAATCAATTGAACATGGGAAGCAAATGTGAATTGCAAACATTGCATAACCCCACGCCACGCTTAAAACGTTGAGGATGGAATCATGTTAAAGCCAACATTAATATGCAAAAGTTCGCGTTTTACAAACAGCGTTCCCCTATTCATCAATCACGTTGCAACCAATTCGCGCAGACAAAACACGAGTTGTAGCAGAAATGACTGTAACTGGTATTAGGGCTGTGACGTCATTCAAGACGGTGGCCAGCATTCAGCTTGCTGGATCTCGCGAAATTCACGATATTTTACCCCAAATATAAGACTTGGTTACATTAGGTACTGCTCACGAAATTAAAAAATGCAAAACGAAATTGCACGAAATATGAGGTCTTACTGTACGTATTCTGCATTTAAATACCAACAATTTCATAGATATAATGCAGTCTTACTTGTGTGTGACTTAAATGCAGCATTGAAAAAGGTCAAACCGATGAAAAACCTTTTTTGTAGTTGTAATTAATCTTTAGAAAAAATATTGATTATACTTTGTCAAGTTTATACTGTATATAACGCTCAGAGTGTTTTGGTGATGAGAAAATACAAAGAATTATTGACATACGTATACATAAAACATGTGGATAATGTTCAGTATAGTGTCTGTATTTGTACTTCATCTTTAGCTAGCACCCTAGTATAGGGTAGTCCTAAAAATGGGCTTGTAAAATGGTCCAACCAGTGAAATAAATCACCACAACCATCATTTCCCCACTTCTCACACCAAAATCTTACAAAAAATAAAGGATGTATTTTGTTCTAAAAGGGGGAGAGGTTTCTTCTTAAATAAGGCTCTTTTTCAAAATGACCACTACACCATATCTAACACCATCATGGATGAGGTAAGAGGGGTGAAAACAAGAGTAGTGGACATATACAGGGAGATAAGTAGCTGGTGTTTGAAGTTGATAATGCCCTATTGCCAATGTTACTTAATGAGTTTTGAAGTGTGCATTCTCAGAGAAAGTTGATACACGATGATCAAAATATATAAACAAAAGAGACTGGGAAAATGAAGATAATATACAAAAGTTTCAGTTCAAATAACTGTGAGTGGGTCATCAGCAAATAATGTGATGAACAATGACATGAATCACAAAGCAGTGAAGGGAAAGAATGTAAAAGTTACACTGAGAAATATAGAAAAAACTACAACAAAGAAGACAAATATGGGAAAGTACTGAGAAGTCATTGAACACAAACTTATTATAATACATGGGGATAAAGTATAGACTCTGGATGGAGATACAATAGAATTGACCACATTGGAAATAACAAAAATGGCAACTTTTAGAGTAATAAGCAGAATGAATAGGATGCAGGGGCTAAGAATTTAGAAATAAGGAGGAAATGTGGAATACAAGATGTGTTAGGCAGAAATTAGGGTCAGGG